ACTAATGAAACGCAGCCCCTGTGTCTGTTTGCCCAAGGGCGGGCTTGAGCCACACACACCTGATGAAGTGCAAAATCTGGCAGTGCTGCTCCATCCTGCAGGGTTTTGCAGGTGTGGCCGTGTTTATCTCTGACGTTTTAACTGCTCAGAAAATAACCTTTTGTTTCTCTGAGCGTTAGTGGCGCTCCCTGTTGACCAGCACTGTTCCCTTTTTGAATCGTGCGTTTACAAACTGCCACTGAAAAATCCTCCTCACTATGCCTTTACTTCATGGCATACTAATCAATAACGTTACAATATATTTATTAATGATATTGTATATTACATTTAATAACCATGTTCTCACCTTTAGCTGTGTAACAAGGTTTTCAGACACTTTCTTCAAAAGATTGATGGTTGGCTTGTCCTTACAGAGGAGCACCAGCTCCAGGTCCAGGTCCCCCTTCAGTAGCAGGCCCTTGGCAACCAGGCCCACCCTCATTACGCCACGCAGGGATCGAGTGGCCTGATCTTTGTGCTCACTATCGAAAGACAGCAGATACAGCGGAGAGGTACAAGAAAAACAAATAATGAAAGGTAGTTAGAGAAGAGGAATTAAACCTTTTCTTAGAAACTAACTCATTTTCTACCAACTTGAACATGAGGAATAACCTCCCTGATATGTCCTCACCTTTCCTTATCGGTGTCTGCGCTGTCAGAGTCTGACTTCGAAGTCCCCTTCTCCTGCTTATCCAGCCAGTCAGAGACGGCCTTCAGGGCCCGCTCTGTGTGGGATACCATGTTCTGTACGCTTTCCAGTTCCTCCTGCGTCGGGTAGATGACAGAGTGTTTGGCCATGACATGGCGGTCATCATTCATGAAGACACGCATGGAGCGGTGCCGCATGGGGGGAGGCTAGGGAGGAAAAGACACAAGATTGTTGATTAAAAAAAGAAATAAAAATAGGGAGGTACATGGTAACTAATTTATTGTTCATAAGAACAAATGTATTACAACAAAGCAAACCATAAATTGTGACATTATGGCCTTAGTGAATGACAGAAGCAACAAGGGGGATGTTATTGTCTCAGTTATGGTGCACAGCAAAACAGGACATCTACTTTTTATAAATAAATTTCTGGGGGCTTTTATTGCTTTTAATTGACCCATAGCAGCTAAAGAAGGACAGGAAAGCGGGGAGAGGACTGACATGCAGCAAAGAGCCACAGGTCAGACTCAAACCCTGTAGCAAGGATTCAGTGCTGGTACATGGGGCGCCAGGTCTACCAGGTGAACTGGGCCGAGAGAATTAAAAGCGATCATTACTATTAATACAACAGAAGGCTGTCTCGCGAATCGGGATTACTGAGTTACTTTGATAACTGCACAGAAAAAAAAACAGCAGCTCCTTCGACTTCAGTACGTTACAGATTTAAAAGCGACCCAGGCTTTACTCAGACCAATTCAGCTAACTTAATTAATCCTGCTTTATGGGACAGGCCCTTGGAAAAAGCATTTATCAAGATTAAAAGACCTCTTTTGTCCGTCACTCATTTGTCTTTGATTAATTAAAAAGCTGAACAGCGCGGTCTCATGTCGAGGGACAAGCTTCTAACACCAGTGATTACACAAGCCGAGTGTATGCACAGGCAGCCAAAGCCAATTTAGAGGAGAGTGGTGATGTGGAAGCTGCAGCATGTGTTCCTAAAGCCCCGGGCAGACTGGGGCAACAAAACACTGGCACCAGTCTTGTGACTTAAATTAGATGTGACACATTTATTTGTCCCGTTAACACTGACATTTAACAAAAAGGCCAGTGTGCCCTGTGCTCTGGCCGCCACATTAACAGATACAGAGATACATAACGTCAAATCAAACAAAGATGGAATTACCATTATTCTTGATGCCGTGGTGACTTCTTATATCCAGTGAACGGCAGTGTTAAAAAAAGGGGGGGGGCTTCTCTGCAACAGATGACGATGTTGCAGTCCTGCTCTATAAAAGGAGAGAGAAACACGCACACATGTTCACAACACAGCAACAGCGAGGAAGGATTCAAACGTCACTACAGGCAAATATGGAGCCACCTGAAAAGGAAGCTAGACTCACAAAAGGATGGATAGAAAGTCAAGTCTGTTGACCAAAAATGTGATTATATAAACATATTCCTTAGGCCAGTAACACACTTCACACTGGGTTGCTGCTGGTGACTCTGTTTATGTCAGTGAAAATAAGTGGTCACCAGCTGCAGGACGCAAAGGAGGATTGTTGGCACGGCAACAGATGCCTCGGGGACTTAACAGACATGTTGCTCATAACAGATCAGACTGTAAGCACAGTGTATGTGTGCAAGTGTTTCTAGTAAACAAAAGCGTGATGATGCTTTTTATTTCTGAAATAAACACAGCGAAACAGAGACGTAAGGACAGTGTTGCTACACAGCATCGATCTCTCAGCAGAGGTCAGCACAAGTTCCTTCACGGACGACTGGCTGCTCATCTGTGATGTCTCAAATGATGCGAGTGTGACAGCAACTGCGAAATGATGCGTTCAGGGACACAGTGAGGAGGACGAGTGGGCCAGTCGGTTATGGCGACACGCCCACAGCATCCGCTCGCTCCAACGCAAACCTTTGGCGATAATGCACAGCTGCACATGGAAGACACACAGCGTCAAGTTGCAGTGAATGCAACTAAAACGAGGCTGAACCAAACCGAGCACAAGCGCAGCCTCCATTATCACAGTCAACAGGTCACTAAAGTGTGGCATCAAACAAACACACTAAATAGTGTTACAGCTATTAAATCTTTTGTTTTAGCAGGAACGGTGCGTTGTGAAGAAACAGTTATGGGACCCAAACCCTACAGCACCATCAGGGGAATTTAAAAACAGACGCCATTTTACTTCAGCGCAGAGGCAGACTGTCGACGGGAGCTAGAAGCGAACAACCCCCACAAATAAAACCACGGAGCAGCCAGCGTTCAACCCGAGCCCGCTCACCGAACCACAACACACACCGACACCACGTCGGTCCACTCGGCAACTAAAACAGACGCGTAGACACTTGAGGGATTGTCTTTGGATCTGGATATCGGTCTGTTGCCTATCAGACACCAAAATGGTCGAGGAGAGCAGACCGAGACCCCATTGAGTGCTCAGCCACAGTTAGCAGGGTAGCTTAGCCGAACAAAGCCAAGTGGCTCTATTTATGAAGTACACCAAAACAAACACACACAGAAAACACGTAACAAGCGTCGTTACTTCTCTTGACGTTGAACGGTCGATTAATACATAAGGACGTGGACGTTGAGGGCTGAAATGAGACATTTTGTCTTTACTCACCGTGCTGTCGTTACTGCTAATGGACGCCGCTGCACGCTAGCTCCCGGTCTCGGCAGCAGGAGTGCGACTGGCCACGCCCACGATGTGAAAAACGGCTGTGCTCATTGGACAGAAGTTACACGTGACTACGATTGTAGCCAATCGGGAAAGAGTGGTACCGAACCACGGGGCGTGGCTTCCTATTGTTTCTTTGAATTGCTCAACAGCTGGCTGATTGATTGAATGTGCTTTGATCATATCGATTAAAACGTGATCATGATACAGGTGTCACCGTTATACCTCACCAGGATATTCTCCAAGAATATTGATTCTGAACATTTGAAGCACAGAGGAGTGACCATCACTGGCAGCATAGCAGCAGTGGAGAGTGTTGTTTCTTTTGTTTTAAGGGAGCTGAAAATACTCAAATCTGCATCACTAGATGATGTGTTTTTGGACAGAATAAAACAATATTTGGCTTCTTACTTTGTGAGCTTTAGGTGAAGGAGGTTTGATTGATTTATTTTTTTCATTTGTGCTGAGCTAAGCAACAGACGACACAGTGCCTAGAGGGGTGGGTACAGGTGCCACCCCTAACAAGTTGCCACCCCAGTTTGGTGTCAAATGCTGTCAAATTTAACACACAAATTTCTGTTATGACCACATCTTAGACTAAGCGACAGGCTTAGACAGTTCACCGAAAAAAGACATGAAGAAAACGTCTAAAGGTTTGGAAATAAAACAATTAATTGATTTCTAAACTTTAGATATTTCTATTTAATACTTAACTAATGTGCCATAATAATGTTTTTAAGATCAAATATCTTAATTTGGGGGCTTTTCCAAGCAAATATTGATATATATGATCATTTGCAATTAAATTAGCAGATATTTCTGCCACACCTTAAAGTCACCCTCTTGCCCACTCCATGAATATGTCTGTAGATCTGCCCCTGTTGCCGTACTCACTCGGAAAATAATTTGAAACAAGTGAAAATATGACATCAATTATGAACCAGAAAGAAACATGAACATATAACCATTTATGTAATCTTACATTCCCTTTTCTTAACAATATTCACTTCAGTCCCCAGGCACTCTGGGAAAATACTGTAGATACATTCACAAACGCACAATAAAGACACACTTCACAGTCACAGCACTACATTGGACACACAGAGTGTTTTTCACATCTTCAAGCTGAGGTAAAAGCACAACCTTTTCTTTTGCGCTCTTATATGAGCACTTACACAAGTCATTGACTTTTACATTATGACAGACAACAAAATGACACTTTTACAGAAAAAAACTTTTGAGTTGAGATGTTTGCTTTAAGACTAGATACAGTCTTCACTTCAACAAAATGTTAGCACATTATACTCCAACTGACAAAATCTTTTTTATTTACATCTGTTCTCATAGAGGACAGACCGCCATGCAAACATATTGGACTGTGTTGTATTCTGATAAACATTTTTCCTTTTTAATAATGTGTTCATACATACAACAATTCAATTTGTTATCATTAGCTGATCATTGAGCTTTCAAATCTGGAACATGTTTCAACTTTAGCTCCTACCATATAATCCTTCATAGACATAAACCAGGTGCTCATTCCCACCAGCCAAGAACAATAACTTTTTGGGACCTTTTAACATTGAATTTGGATCCAGATGATAGACTGCTGGGCTCAGCTGGGATCCTGCTGGCAGGTGACAGTAAAAAATTATAGCTTACACATCTCTCTTCTTCCTGTAAGAGTCCATTTAAATGTTATTAATACCGTTTTTCTCTGCGTTCTGAAAGGAGCTAACATCCCAGCGAACAGAGCGGAAGATGGTTCCCTTTAAGCTGGCCTGCCTTTTAGTGATGCGATAGATCTTCCTGAGGATGGCGCGTCTCAGCAGGATGTAGACCCACGGGTCCAGGATCTGGTTAAAGGTTGCCATCCTGACACCCGTCATCATCAGGCCCTGGTAAGTGTTGATGTCACTGCTCATGGAGCCGCTGTAGGACCGTATGGCTGATATCAGTCCAAAGACCTGAAAAAAGGAAGAAAAGAATCAAGTTTAGGCTCAATCTTTACCATCTAATAAAATTATAAAGTAAACTGTAATATTAATATTTAATGTAATAAAAATACATTTGTGTTTTGGTTGTGCTAATACTTTTTTGCAAATAATCCACAACTGACATGTAATAACTGTAATAATCTAGGAACCTCTTTTGTGTGAAAAAAATGATTGCTAATGTGTGTCAAACACAATATGCAGTTGCTGATTTGCTGATGGATTAGTCATTACAAAATCACGCTGTACAGCCTAACTTTGTTCAAACCCACAGAACTTTATTGCAAACTCCAAAGTTTCCAAATATACTAAATTCACCAGTCTGAAATTTGGGGAAATGTATATAAAAAACAACATATGTAGAATTA